ATTAAAAAGAACAAAGAAAATAAAACAAGGAAACTGCAGAAGGCCCACTGCCCCTGCAGGCAGGGCCAAGTCCCTACCGGTTTAAACCCAAGCACCCCAAACCCATCAGGTCAGGTCACATGACTAAGGGAAACACGAACCACCTTTAGCAAAGCTATCAGGGCAACTCACAAAACCCCCCCACATCTCCATTATTTATCCAACCATTTTTAAAGCTACACAACTTTTTGGCCTCATAACGTACTTGGAGTTTGTTCCACTCAACCACAAATCTATTACCAAAACCAGTATTTCCTATATCCCTCCTGAATCTGAATTTTTTTCCAATTTAAAAAAACCATTGCTGCGAGTCCTGTCTAGGCTAGATATTTTCAGCACACTATTTACATCCCCTTTATTTATTCCTGTCTTCCACTTATAAACCTCAATCATATCCCCCCTAATTCTACGTCTTTCTAGAGAGTGCAGTTTCAGGGCCCTTAGTCTATCCTCATAGGGAAGGTTTCTGATACATGGGATCATCTTTGTCATCCTCCATTTGGTACATTTTCCAGAGAATTTATATCCATTCTGTAATACGGTGACCAAAACTGTGCAGCATAATCAAATGAGGCCTAACCAGGATGTATAGAGTTGAAGAACAACCTGAGGACTCCTATTATTTATGCTTCTTGATATGAAGCCAAGGATTCTATTAGCTTTATTGCGACACTTATGCACTGTTGTCTTGGTTTCAGATTACTGCTAACCAGAACTCCTAAATCTTTTTTCGAAATCCGTAATATTAAGATCTACATTATTTATTTTATATGGGGCCCATGGTTATTGGTCCTGTCCAACATTTAAAAACTTTGCATTTGTCTATATTAAACTGCATCTGCCACTTCTCCGACCACTGCATCAGTCTATTCAAATCTTCCTGAGTGCCCCGAATGTCCTCGTCAGAAGAATTCGACGGCCTATTTTGGTGTCATCGGCAAACTTGCCGATGTCGCTCTTTATGCCCTCATCTATGTCGTTTATGTAGATTGTGAACAGCAGGGGGCCCAACACTGACCCCTGTGGAACACCGCTCGTGACGCTTCCCCACTCTGATTTCTCCCCATTTATGCAAACTCTCTGCTGCCTATTTGTCAACCATGCCCCTATCCAGGAAAAAATTTCTCCTCCTATTCCATGTGCTTTAATTTTCCTCAATAGTCTCTGATGGGGACCCTGTCAAAAAGCCTACTGAAGTCCATATACACAATATCTATTCGTTACCATGATCTACCTCCTCAAATACCTTAAATGAAAAAAGTTAATAAATTCGTAAGGCAGGAACGTCCCTTTGTAAAACCATGCTGAGATTCGTTGATTAATTTTGCTTTTTCAAGGTGGCTACGAACTGCCTCGGCAATTATTGATTCCATAAATTTTCCCACTATGGAGGTTAGGCTTAGGGGGCTAAGTTCGAAGCTAAGGACCTGTCACCTGTTTTTGAAAATAGTATCACATTTGCCATTTTCCACTTATCTGGCACCATGCCAGTTGTTTAGTGATATGTTTAAAAGATTAGCCAAAGGTGTGCTAAGCCTCTTTACATTCTTTAGAACCCTTTCATTACAGTTCATCAGGGCTGGGGATTTGTTAGGTTTTAATTTATCTATTTGCCTAAGGACCATGTCACTTGTGACCCTAAAAAGTGCACAGTTTATTATCGTCCTGTTCTACATAATTTATCATTACTGGAATATCACTGGTTTTCCTCCTGTGTAAAAAATGAGAGGAAGTATGTGTTAAAAATTCTACACATTTCCTTTTCACTGTCAGTGAGCTGACCCGAGGAACTTTTGAGTGGGCCCTATCTTGTCCCTGATCATACTTCTGTAACCTGAAAGAATCCTTTTGGGTTAGTCTTCGATTCTCTGCAAAATTTAACCTCATAATCTCTTTTTGCTTTTCTAATTCCCTTTTTTATTTCTCTCTTTAACTGAATATATCGATTTCTTAATTGCCCCTCTCCTCTTTTGATTTGCCTATATATGCCTCTCTTTTGACCAATCAGATATTTTAAATTATTGTTCATCCATTTAGGATCATTTTTGTTTGATCTGATTTCCCTATTGGAACATAATTTTACTGAGCAGCTAGAAACTATGCCCTGGAAAGCATCATATCGGCAACCATCACCACCTACCTGACCCCTAGTCAGGGCTTCCAGTTCAAGCCCACCTAAGTAATTTTTCAGTCCTATGAAATCAGCCAAGCGAAAGTCAGGGACGAGACTTATTGCCATTATTAGGGGAATCCCATGATATGTTTAAAACATGAGTGATTTGTGATCACTCTTCCCCCAAGCTCATCATTAACCTCAAATTATAATTAGTGTTTCCCTACGGCAAGAACCAAAGTCAAGGAGGTTATTTCCCCTAGTTGGCTCTGTCCACAAACTGTTTAAAAAACAATCCTGGATCGTATCAAGAAAGTCACCCGACTCTAAATTTCCTGTCAAATTGCTCCATCCCAATCTGTCTATAGTTTTGAAATCTCCTAAAATTTAGCACAACATTTCGTAGTAGAATGCCTTACGAATTTCGTCCCATAAAGTTTACTCGCACTCCCTATCAGATTAGGGCCCCGCTGTAAATTCGACAAACCCACAATTAGTTTTTCTTTCTCGGCCCTCGAGAAGCTGTAACCAAAACAGATTCAGTGCTGACGCTTCTAATTTAATATCTTGTCCTAACACAACAATTTAAATTGTCTCTGACATAACATCGCTACTCCTAACCACCTTTCCTTGTTGACCCTGTCAGTGTGGAATTAATTTATAGCCTTGTTGTGACATTCAGATGGCATCCTCTCTATCTTTCGATTGAGCCAGGTCTCGGTTATAATAGCAATAATTTCTATTTTCCCTGCACTTGCAATTAATCTAGCCATCATCTCATTTCTAACATCCTGCTATTAGTATAGTAAACCTTAAGGGAGCTAGTCCCTTGCTGCCCCTCTGAGCGCCCTTTGGTTTTCTGACCTTCTATTGTCTTTATTTATAACTTTCATGCTGAATGCCCTTTTATACATTTACTGTTTTCCAACTCCTAGTGTTTTGCAACCTGCTTGTTCCCACACAACACCCATACCTCTATCTTCCATCAGTTTTAAAATCATAGGCATTTCACCAATGGCCTTCTCAATCGAGTCTGCAAGTGCTAAACCACCCTGCCCAGAAGAGATTGAACCCCCATCCCTTCATACATATCAATGTTTTGCCATTAAAGTTGTTCCAGTGTCAATGAAATGGGATTGCAAAGTTCCCTTGTACAGTAATCTGTCAGCAGCAATTCACCAGTATTGCCCCTTAGACAACCATTCATTTCCTACTCCCCTCCTAAGGCAAAATCACGTCAACATACAATGTTACTAGTCACGTCAACTTACAATGTTGCAAGTCCCGTCAACTTACAATGTTACAAGTCACGTCAATTTACATTATCAATGTTACAAGTTACGTCAACTTACATTGTCAATGTTACAAGTCACTTCAATCTGCAACAGAGAAAATCTCACAGAAATAATTGTTCGTGTACTGGTAGTTACGAAGACATTTATTTTTATTAAACATCAGTGTAGAACGTACGCAAAAATATCTATTTTATCACTTGACTCATGGAGATGAATTTAAAAAAAGGACATCCTATTTAAGCTGTTTATCACTGACCAAAAATGAATTCACGAATTCATTATTGGTGACATTTAAGTAACTGGAAGCAATAATGAAATTATGTAGCAATTTTCCAGTAAATAACAGTGTAAAATTACCGGAAGTGATACTCAAAACAGTGATGGCCATACTCAAGATAATAACAATGATATTAAAGTTATTGAATGTATTTAGATATGAGGAAGAAAAAGAAATGAATCTTTGCGTGATGAAGAAAAATGTCCGTATAATTATGGGGAAATTAAATTACCTTGAATTTGAGGTTGGAGTTGTCGTAGATGTTCTTTACTGATGACACAGTACTTTTGGGAGATTTGAAAGAAAAGTTTCAATTGGGAGGATGTGGTAGAGAAGAAAGTTAAAAATGAGCACAGTAAAGCACAAGGCAATGAGAATAAGAAAAAAGTCTAGGCCACAAAAAACTGAATGTCAGATTGAAGCGTAGAGTGAAGGGAGTATTTCATAAATATCAGATACATTTATTGCGGATGTTTCCAGAGAAAGATCATTAAAATATGACAAGAATCATAGAATAAGTAAGGAAAAATATATTGTTGCTTAGACGTCTGTGGAAAAAAAAGGCGTAAATCAGTGGAGGTAGAATAAGAAATCATCTTAGCCAGGATGGTACCATCACTTTTGTTTGGGTGTGAGGTATGGTGTTCAAATGCAAACAGGAGGTAGTGAGAATATGTGGAGCTGTCATATTCGAAGTCAATGGATATAATAAAGTACAAAAAATATAGAAGACAATATGTATTATTATATAAATAACTCAGAGTGCAGAAGTTGATGGAGTAAAAAAAAAAACATACCACGGGCGGGGATAGAACCCGCGATCAGAGAGTCTCAAAACTCCACAATAAGATTCGTCCAACTAGTACATCTACACCATAGGAAGGTATCATAGGGCACCATGTGACCCACAAATGCAAGTTTTTACAGACGAATCTCCAGCTAGCGTGGCCGTGACGAACTCTAGCTCAAGTCCCCTCAAAGCCGTTAACATGACTCACGAAATCGTAATGACACGATTGCAAACAAACCATGCCACCGGCGGGGATAGAACCCGCGATCAGAGAGTCTGAAAACTCCAGACCGTTGCGTTAGCCACTAGACCAGCTAGTTGGACGAATCTTATTGTGGCTAGCTGGTCTAGGGGCTAACGCGACGGTCTGGAGTTTTGAGACTCTCTGATCGCGGGTTCTATCCCCGCCCGTGTTATGGTTTGTTTGCAATCGTGTCATTACGATTTCGTGAGTCTTGATGAGGTAATTTGGTAATTTTTAATACGATGGAGCTGGATAAGTTTACCAAAAGAGTGGAAATTTCCGTGTATGTTGGGTGGACGAAGGAGGTTTTGAGTCGTAGTGGTTTAAGCATCCATCAGGTAAGTGTGAGCATGTTAGACAGCTGTGTAGGTAAGTGTGAGCATGTTAGACAGCTGTGGCAGGTAAAGTGTAGACATGCTAAGGCGGGCTGTCCAGTAAGTGTGAGCATGTTTAGGCAGCTGTGCAGGTAAGGTGAGCATGTTAGGCAGCTGTGCAGGTAAGTGTGAGCATGTTAGGCAGCTGTCCAGGTAAGTGTGAGCATGTTAGGCAGCTGTGTAGGTAAGTGTGAGCATGTTAGACAGCTGTGTAGGTAAGTGTGAGCATGTTAGACAGCTGTGCAGGTAAGTGTGAGCATGTTAGACAGCATGCAGGTAGTGGTGAACATGTTATAGAGCTGTGCAGGTAAGTGTGAGCATGTTAGGCAGCTGTGCAGGTAAGTGTGAGCATGTTAGGCAGCTGTGCAGGTAAGTGTGAGCATGTTAGGCAGCTGTGCAGGTAAGTGTGAGCATGTTAGGCAGCTGTGGCAAGTAAGTGTGAGCATGTTAGGCAGCTGTGCAGGTAAGTGTGAGCATGTTAGGCAGCTGTGCAGGCAAGTGACGTATTGAAATGAATATATTGTTGAAGAGTGAGCAAAGTGATGTATATAAAGCAGGCCCACTGGCCCATGCGAGGTAGGGCCAATTCTCCCATCGCCTTAAGCCAATGCCTTGACCTAGTCAGGTCAGGTCACATTCACTTAAGGAAGACTCAGCATCTGACTCCTATAGCACAAGCTAGTCAGGCCCAACTCACACCCACCCACACCCACTCATGTATTTATCCAACCTATTTTTAAAACTACACAACGTCTTAGCTTCTATGACGGTACTCTGGAGTTTGTTCAACTTAGAACGTCATTTATGACCAGATAGCAATGGTGTGAATAAGGATAAATGTTTTTTCTCTTCAAGGGTTATTCTCTACCTTGATCTAAAAAGTAATGTGGAAAAATAATAATAGTTTATGATTGTTGAATTTAAACAGGAAACATTTATCGCAGTTGATGCCGCAGAATACAGTATTCTCTGGAGGTGCTGGATAGGTGAGTGAACACAAAATCTGTATTGCTCTTTACGTATGTGGGAAGACAGTGCAAGTCATTTCGTCTGATTATTTGGGCAAAGGTATATAACCAGATGTTCAGTGTGTTAATTTATAGATGACAGTTTGTTGAGTAATGTGAGTCAAGCGGAAAGTCTTCTTAGTGAATATAGAAATACAATCCCACCTTTGTTACATACGCTTCATATCCAGTCCTGGCCTGTATCGCTTGACCTCCCATCTGCCCTGTCGTATCCATGACCTGTCCATCCTGTTCTGCCTGTATCGCTTGACCTGTCCATCTTGCCCTGTCTGTATCCCTTGACCTGTCCATCCTGTTCTGTCTGCATCGCTTAACCTGTCCATCTTGCCCTGTCTGTATCCCTTGACCTGTCCATCCTGTTCTGCCTGTATCCCGTGACCTGTCCATCCGTCTGCCTGTTTCTCGTGACCATGTACATCTTGTCCTGATTGTTTCCCGCGACCTGTACAACCTGTCCAACCTGTATCCCATGACCTGTACATCCTGTCTTGCCTGCTTCCCGTGACCTGTACATCCTGTCTTGCCTGTTTCCCGTGACCTGTACATCCTGTCCTGCCTGTTTCCCGTGACCTGTACATCCTGTCCTGCCTGTTTCCCGTGACCTGTACATCCTGTCCTGCCTGTTTCCCGCGACCTGTACATCCTGTCTTGCCTGTTTCCCGTGACCTGTACATCCTGTCCTGCCTGTTTCCCGTGACCTTTACATCCGTCCTGCCCTGTTTCCCGTACCTGTACATCACGTCCTGCCTGTTTCCTCGTGACCTACATCCTGTCCTGCCTGTTTCCCGCGACCGTGTACATCCTGTCTTGCCCTGTTCCGGACCTGTACATCCTGTCCTGTGCCTGTTTCCACGTGACCTGTACATCCTGTCCTGCCTGTTTCCCGTGACCTGTACATCCTGTCCTGCCTGTTTCCCGCGACCTGTACATCCTGTCCTGCCTGTTTCCCGTGACCTGAATATACTGTATTAAATGTATTTCATGTCCTGCATATAATTTTCTTCCTTAATCTCTTGACCTGAATATTCTGTTCAGTTTTTGTCTAATCACCTGTATTTCCTGTCCTTTATTTACTTTGACAGTATATTCCCTCCTTCTCATGTCACGTGACTTATAAACATGTGCAACACACGTGTTTTGTGAAATGAATATCTTGTGCAACTTGTGTTCCTTGATTAGTATATTTTGGCTAACTTGTGTTCTGTGACATGTATCTTATTCTTTACTTATGTTCGCTCTAATATATCCTGTTCAAACTGTGTTCTGTGACTTGTATATCATGTCTTACTTGTTTCTGGTGATATGTATGTCAAGTATGTCACTCACTAAGGAGCCGGATTAAGATTTTGTAGGCCATTGAGCTACTGGTACTGTGAGGCCCCTGGGCTACTGGTGCTTTGAGGTGCCTGGCTCTGGGACCTGTGAGTCCCTGGGCTACTGGTCCTGTGAGGTCCCTGGGCTACTGTCTGTAGGTCCCTGGGCTACTGTACTGTGTAATCCCTGGCTACTGGTCGCTGTGAGGTCCCTGGTCTATACTGGTCCTGTGAGGTCCCTGGGCTACTGGTCCTGTGAGGTCCCTGGGCTACTGGTCCTGTGAGGTCCCTGGGCTACTGGTCCTGTGAGGTCCCTGGGCTACTGGTCCTGTGAGGTCCCTGGGCTACTGGTACTGTGAGGCCCCTGGGCTACTGGTGCTTTGAGGTCCCTGGACTACTGGTCCTGTGAGGTCCCTGGGCTGCTGGTCCTGTGAGGTCCCTGGGCTACTGGTCCTGTGAGGTCTCCTGGGCTAACATGGTACTGTGAGATCCCCTGTGCTACTGGTTGCTCTTGAGCCCCTGTGTTTGCTGATGCCTGTAAAGCCCCTAGGCTACCGGTGCTGTGAGGTCCCTGGGCTACTGGCACTGTGAGGTCCCTGGGTTGCTGATGCTGTAAAGCCCCTGGGCTACCGGTGCTGTGAGGTCCCTGGGCTACCGGTACCGTGAGGCCCCTGGGCTACTAGTGCCGTGAGGTCCTTGGGCTACTGGTACCGTGAAGTCCCTGGGCTACTGGTACTGTGAGGCCCCTGGGCTACTGGTACTGTGAGGTACATGGGCTACTGGCATTGTGAGGTCCCTGGGCTACTGGTACATTGAGGCCCATGGGTAACTGGTACTGTGAAGTCCCTGGGCTGTTACTGTGAGGTGCCTGGACTACTGGTACTGTGAGGCCCCTGGGCTACTGGTACTGAGAAGTCCCTGGGCTACACTTACTGTGAGGTCACTGGGCTACTGGTACTGTACGGTCCATGGGCTACTGGTTCTGTGAGGCCCCTGGGCTACTGGAACTGTGAGGTCCCTGGGCTACTGTTACTGTGAGGTCCCTGGGCTACTGTACTGTGAGGTCCCTGTGCTAACTGTACTGTGAGGCACCTGGGCTACTTGTAACTTGAGGCCTCCTGGCTACTGTACTTTGAGGTCCCTGGGCTACTAGTACTGTGAGGTCCCTGGGCTACTGTTACTGTGAAGTCCCTGGGCTACTGGTACTGTGAGGCTCCTGGGCTACTTGTACTGTGAGGCCCCTGGGCTACTGGTACTGTGAGGCCCCTGGGCTACTAGTACTGTGAGGTCCCTGGGTTACTGATACTGTGAGGTTCCTGGGCTACTGGTACTGTGAGGCCCCTGTGGTACTGGTACTGTGAGGTTCCTGGGCTACTGATACTGTGAGGTCCTTGGGCTACTGGTACTGTGAGGTCCCTGGGCTACTGTTACTGTGAGGTCCCCGGGCTACTGGTACTGTGAGGCCCCTGGGCTACTGGTACTGTGAGGTTACTGAGCTACTGGTACTGTGAGGCCCCTGTGGTACTGGTACTGTGATGTCCCTGAGCTACTCTTACTGTGAGGTCCTGGGCTACTGGTACTGTGAGGTCCCTGGTCTACCGGTTCTGTGAGCCCCTGGGGCAACTGGTACTGTGAGGTCCCCTGGGCTACTTTACTGTGAGGTCCCTGGGGGCTACTGTTTACGTGAGATCCCCTGGGCTACTCTTACTGTGAGGTCCCTGGGCATACTGTACTGTGAGGTCCTGGGCTACTGGTTCTGTGAGGCCCCTGGGCTACTGGTACTTGGGTCCCCCTGGCTACTGGTAACTGTGAGTCCCTGGGCTACTGTTTACTGTGAGGTCCCCTGGCTAACTGTACTGTGAGGTCCCTGAGCTACTGATTCTGTGAGGCCCCTGGGCGACTTGGTACTGTGAGGTCCCTGGGCCTAACTGGTCCTGAGAGGTCCCTGGGCTACTGTTACTGTGAGGTCCCTGGGCTACTGTACTGTGATCCTTATGGCTACTGGTACTGTGAGGTTCCCTGGGCTACTGTTTCTGTGAGGTCCCTGGGCTACTCCTTACTGTGAGGTCCCTGGCTAGACTGTACTGTGAGGTCCCTGGGCTACTGTACTTGTGAGGTCCCTGGGCTACTGGTATCTGTGAGGTCCCCCTGGGTACTGGTACTGTGTGAGGGTCCCTGGGCTGCTACTGTGAGGTCCCTGTGTTACTGGTACTGTTGAGGCCCCCTGGGCTACTTGTACAGGTGATGTCCCTGGGCTACACTTATCTGTGAGGTCCTGGGCTAACTGGTACTGTGAGGTCACCTGGGCTACTGTTCTGTGAGGCTCCTGGGCTACTGGTACTGTGAGGTCCCTGGGCTACTGGTACTGTGAGGTCCCTGGGCTGTTACTGTGAGGTTCCTTGGGCTACTGTTACTGTGAGGTCCCTGGGCTACTGGTACTGTGAGGTCCCTGGGCTACTGGTACTGTGAGGTCCCTGGGCTACTGTTACTGTGAGGTCCCTGGGCTACTGGTACTGTGAGGTCCCTGGGCTACTGGTACTGTGAGTCCCTGGGCACACTTATGTGAGTCCCTGGGCTACTGGTACTGTGAGTCTAGCTACTGTTACTGTGAGGTTCCTGGGCTACTTTTACTGCTAGGTCCCTGGGCTACTGGTACTGTGAGGTCCCTGGGCTACTGGGTCTGTGAGGCCCTTGGGCTACTGCTACTGTGAGGTCCCTGGGCTACTGTTACTGTGAGGTCCCTAGGCTACTGTTACTGTAAGGTGTCTGGGCTACTGGTACTGTGAGATCCCTGGGCTACTGTTACTGTGAGGTCCCTGGGCTTCGGTACTGTGAGGTCCCTGGCTACTGTACGTGAGGTCCCTGGGATAACTTTACTGTGAGGTCCCTGGGCTACTGGTACTGTGAGGTCCCTAGGCTACTGTTACTGTGAGGTCCCTGGGCTACTTTTACTGTGAGGTCCCTGGGCTACTTTTACTGTGAGGTCCCTGGGCTACTGGGTCTGGTGAGCCCCTTGGGGTACTGCTACGTGAGGTCCCTGGGCTACTGTTACTGTGAGGTCCCTAGGCTACTGTTACTGTGAAGTGTCTGGGCTACTGGTCTGGGTGGAGATCCCTGGGTTACTCCTTAACAGTGAGGTCCCTGGCTGCTGTAATTTTGGAGGGTCCCTTGGGCTAGCTGGTACTGTAGGTCCTGGGCTACTGTACTGTGAGGTCCCTGGGTTACTGTACTGTGAGTCCCTGGGTTAACTGGTACTGTGAGTCCCTGGGCTAATGTTACTGTTAGGTCCCTTGGGCTACTGGTACTGTAAGTCCCCTTGCTACTGTACTGGTGAGTCCCTGGGCTACTGTACTGTGAGGTAGTCCCTGGGCTTCTGGTACGTGAGGGTCCCAGGCTACTGGTACTGTGAGGTCCCTGGGGCTTACTCTTACTGTGATGTCCCTGGGCTACTGGTACTGTGAGGTCCCTGGGCTACTGTTACTGTGAGGCCCCTGGGCTACTCTTACTGTGAGGTCCCTGGGCTACTGGTACTGTGAGGTCCCTGGGCTACTTGTACTGTGAGGTCCCTGGGCTACTGGTTCTTTGAGGCCCTTGGGCTACTGTTACTGTGAGGTCCCTGGGCTACTGGTTACTGTGAGGTCCCTGGGCTACTGTTACTGTGAGGTCCCTAGCTACTGTTAATGTGGAGGTCCTTGTGCTAACTTGTACTGTGAGGTCCCTGGGCTACCTGGTTCTTTGAGCCCTTGGGCTACTGTAACTGTGAGGTCCCGCTAACTGGGACTGTGAGGTCCCTGCCTACTGGTACTGTGAGGTCCCTAGCTACTGTTACGTGAGGTCCCTGGGCTACTGGTACTGTGAGGTCCCTGGGCTACTGGTACTGTGAGGTCCCTAGGCTACTGTTACTGTGAGGTCCCTGGGCTACTGGTACTGTGAGGTCCCTGGGCTAATGGTACTGTGAGGTCCCTAGGCTACTGTTACTGTGGAGGTCCCTGGCTACTGTTACTGTGAGGTCCCTGGGCTATAACTGGTAACTGTGAGGTCCTGGGCTACTGGTATCTGTAGGGTCCCTGGGTTTACTGTTGTACTTTGAGGTTCCCTGGGCTACTGTTACTGTGAGGTCCCTGGGCTACTGTTACTGTGAGGTCCCTGGGCTACTGGTACTGTGAGGTCCCTAGGCTACTGTTACTGTGAGGTCCCTGAGCTACTGGTACTGTGAGGTCCCTAGGCTACTGTTACTGTGAGGTCCCTGGGCTACTGGTACTGTGAGGTCCCTGGGTTACTGGTACTTTGAGGTCCCTGGGCTACTGGTTCTTTGAAGAGGCCCTTGGGCTACTGTTACTGTGAGGTCCCTGGGGTACTGTTACTGTGAGGTCCCTGGGCTACTGTTACTGTGAGGTCCCTAGGCTACTGTTAATGTGAGGTCCCTGGGCTACTTGTACTGTGAGGTCCCTGGGCTACTGGTTCTTTGAGGCCCTTGGGGCTCTGTTTACATGTGAGTCCCTGGGCTACTGTTACTGTGAGGTCCCTGGGCTACTGGTACTGTGAGGTCCCTAGGCTACTGTTACTGTGAGGTCCCTGGGCTACTGGTACTGTGAGGTCCCTGGGCACTGGTACTGTGAAGGTTACCTAGGCTACTGTTACTGTGAGGTCCCTGGGCTACTGGTACTGTGAGGTCCCTGGGCTAATGGTACTGTGAGGTCCCTAGGCTACTGTTACTGTGAGGTCCCTGGGCTACATGTTACTGTGAGTCCCTGGTCTACTGGTACTGTAGGTCCCTGGGTTTACGGTACTGTGAGGTCCCTGGTTACTGGACTTTGAGGTCCCTGGGCACTGTTGACTGTGAGGTCCCTGGCTACTGTTACTTGTGAGGTCCCTGGGCTACTGGTGACATAGGTTCCCCTAAGGCTACTGTTACTGATGAGGTGCCCTGAGCTACTCTGGTACTGTGAGGTCCCTAGGCTACTGTTTACTGTGAGTTCCCTGGGCTACTGGTACTGTGAGGGTCCCTGGGTTCAACTGTACTTTGGGGAAGGGGGGGTCCCCCCCCCCCACCCCTGGGCTACTGTTACTGTGAGTCCCCTGGGCTGTGCTGTTAACTAAGATGATGTCCCTTGGCTACTTACTGTACATTGCTGCTGGTGTGAGGTGGGGGGTTGACTGGGACTGGGTACTGTGAGGTCCCTAGGCTACTGTTACTGTGAGGTCCCTGGGCTACTGGTACTGGTTAGGGTCCCCTAGGCTACTGTTACTGTGAGGTCCCTGGGCTACTGGTACTGTGAGGTCCCTGGGTTACTGGTACTTTGAGGTCCCTGGGTTACTGTTACTGTGAGGTCCTGGCTTACTGTTACTTGTTAGTCCCCTGGGCTACTGTACTGTGAAGGTCCCTGGGTTAACTGGTACTTAGTCCCTTGGCTACTGTTACTGTTAAGGTCCCTGGGCTACTGTATCTGTGAGGTCCCTGGGCTACTGGTACTGTGAGTCCCGGGTTACCTGGGTACTTTGAGGTCCCTGGGCTACATGTTACTGTGAGGTCTCCCTGGGCTACTGTTACTGTGAGGTCCCCTGGGCTACTGTACTTGTGAGGTCCCTGGTTACAGGTACTTGAGTCCCTTGGCTACTGTTACTGTGAAGGTCCTGGACACGTTTACTGTAGGCCCTGGGCTACTGGTATCTGTGAGGTCCCTGGGCTACTGTTACTGTGAGGTCCCTGGGCTACTGGTACTGTGAGGTCCCTGGGTAACTGGTACTTTGAGGTCCCCAGTGATATTTTCAAATGAAAAAAATAAATACGACACTCAACAGTTGATCATATAGGTGATGTAATATTTCAGTTCACTTTTCATCTCGTGTGGCCCTCCAGCCCTGCAGCCCTGCAGCCCTGCAGCCCAGGGGTATAGGGGCTGCAGCCCCTGGACCCTATGCCTCAATCCCGGCTCTGCTTACTACTAGTGTTCTGCGACTTGTATATCATGCCCTGCTAGTGCTCTGTGACATGCATATCCTGCCAGAAATTTATATATCATACCCTATTTATGGTTTGAAACATGTAAATCCAACCTCACTTGTGTTCTGCAACTTGTAAATCCGACTCTTTTTTGTTGTATCATGGCATATATTTTATTCCTTATTGTTTTACATTGTGTATAACCTACACGTGTGATCTGCAGCGGCTGCTGGGCGGACTGAGCAAGGACAAGGAGTTCCTGGTGTCACTGCTGGGTCGTCGAAGCCTGAGACAGGAGGTGGTGACGGTGGACGGTGGCGGCCAAGTTACTCACACAAGTTGTCAAGTGGCGGCCGTTGCTAAGGAAGCTCTCAGCTCTTTACAAGTGAGACATTCCTATGCTCGCTCAAGCACGCACGCACACACACACACACACACACACACACACACACACACACACAGATATTAGGAAGTATTTCTTCAGTCATAGAGTTGTAAGGCAGTGGAATAGCCTAGAAAATGACGTAGTGGAGGCAGGAACCATACACAGTTTTAAGACGAGGTTTGATAAAGCTCATGGAGCGGGGAGAGAGAGGGCCCAGTAGCAACCGGTGAAGAGGCGGGGCCAGGAGCTAAGACTCGACCCCTGCAACCACAAATAGGTGAGTACACACACACAGTCTATAATTCTGCTTTATAACTTTCAGCACATGACCTGAGGTTCTCTCCTTCAAGTCAAATATTGCTCTTTAAAACCTACAATACCTGCTTACTATCTTCCTTTTGTAACCTAGAACACTTTCTGAATTTCATTCTATTCTGTCAGTTACAGCTCTCTAACCTACAGTACATCCCTTGTAGTTCAGTCCAGTTAGTAAACAAAACAACAGAAAAAATACTAAGTTATAGCAAATAGTCTCGCATATTAAATTCATTCAAAATTTTATTTCTGAAACTTTTCTCTGTTACTTGCTCCTCTAACCTCTCCTAATCATTCTCCTCTCCTCCAGCAGGCCTCTCCCACATCTCTGATCTGCCTATATTCTTTTCAACCTACTGAAGTTTCCCAGTTCATGTTCACAGATATAATTATCTTATGAATGACGCACTTCCTGACAGGTAAACATTTAGCATCTATTCCTGCAATATCCTTATCATACAGAACACAGATGCAGTAAAATGTGTGTGTACCAGCTTTTTTTTTTAAATATGCCCTAGACCTTTATCAGTTGTCCTATTCTGACTTCATGGGGTCAGCACTTGGAATCGTTTATGTGGCAACGAGACCCCGGGGACAGTACTGGAAGGCCGGGTGCTGTTGATGGAGGCGCAGGCAAGACTCTTCTCCAGAAGGAACGAGAAAAGAAAGAGCGAGCCAGGCTTAAAGTCACTCTCAGGCGTCGTACAGCAATACTGCTGCAGCAGCTACACCAAGACGCAGGTCAGTACGACAGGCTATCTCTATATGATTTGCAAAAAGTAATGTAACAAAGTATCGGCAAAGGTTCAGGCGATTTTCGGACATTTTTACAAAATCGGTGTCGGTGATTTTTTTTTTATAAAGTATAACGTGCTCTTAAAAATATCAAAATTAACACTGTACCTCACACACACACACATACACACACACACACACACACACATACACACACACACACACACACACAACATGATTAAAAAAGACACGGGGAGATTGTAGAGAACGAGAGCATCATCGTGGTAACAGGAGAGAACATGACTCAACTGCAAATTTTCAGAGACTTGGGTGGTTCTCGAGGGAAACGAACCGCAGTCATATTGACATTCAAGTCAGAAATGACATGAAACAAAGTCCTGCAGTGGAAGCTACTGTTAAAGGGTTCACAAAAATATCAGCGAGTGTACCTCGACCAACAGAACACGAAAAACGGGAACAACTGAGGGGAAGAGTAAGAATGCACTGAGGCAGAGTACTTTGCCTCAGTGCATATCTTGGCGACAGGGTATGCACTGTCAGACAGAGCAGCACATCCTCGAAGGAAACAGCACACAACCAAACACAGACCAACCCACAGCATCCCGTCAACCCCTACAATCCCCACACCAACCACGCACAATAACAATCGCCAAACTACACTCCACATCCACAGCCCCCACCCCCCAGCACTAATAGAGCCACACCAGCAAACTACCATAATAACTAGGCCTGCCTACCACACCCACAGCCAGCATCAACCTTTCCAACTCCCCAGAATACAATTCTAGAAAGGAAATTGAAGAAGTGGTACACCAACACAACTCCCCAGAATACAATTCTAGAAAGGAAACTGAAGGTGTGGAATTCCAAATAAAAGTGAGGAGAGTCACGAAAGAATCACTGAAGCATCCCAGGACATCAGAGCAATCATAGAGACAAAGTTCACGTAAGTGATAACAGATGCAATCTTCCCATGTAGTTATCAGATCCTGAGGAAAGACGGTGGGGGGGGCAGAGGGGGAGGAGGAGGAGGAGTTGCACTGTTCATTAAAATGCAATGGAGTTTTGAGGAGATGGAAGGACTAGTCAGAGGGGTAGTGGACGACTACATAGGAGCACTGTATACTGGGGGTCAAAAAGTGATGATAGCAGTGATGTACAACCTGCCACCAAGCAGTAGGAGGCCAAGACAGGAATATGATGAGAGCAACAGTGTGATGATGGACACAATAGCCGAGATTACTAGAAGGGCCCACATGAGCAGAGCAAAGTTACTCATCATGGGGGATTTCAACTATAAGGAGACTGGGGAAATCTGGAGACGTGGAGAGCCAAAATACTGGAAAACTTCTTGTCCATCATGTTAAGGACGAAACCAGGGAGAGTGAGAGAGGCCAGGAGCTGCAAATCAACCCTTGCAACTACAAATAGGCGAATCCACACACTCACTAACACGCAGGCTCACACACACAAACACAAAACATGATAGTTCTTTCATCTTGGGCAGACCTAGTCAGTAAATCCCTAAGTTCCCCTCCTTTTCAAGAGAGACTAAAATGACTGGAAGAGTAACCATTCTTCTCGAAAATTTGTGTATATCTGAGAATTTTTATGTTTTCCCCAATGCCTAACTTTAAGCGATGTTTGAATTTTGTTTTTCCTTCCTTTTCTATTTTGTTTTACTCATAACTCGAGAGTTCCTCACCTAATTAACTTCAAGTTGTTAACACTTGTAGAGGGTATCGAGGATCGTGTTTTAGGAACGATTCGCATGTTAACATGTCCTTTGATCAAAGTTATTGAACCTAACTTCAGATAACTTCAACATCCTGAGTGGCCGTTAAAATGGTATAAAATACCGACAGGTTGTAGGTAAGACACATGTGCAACAGTTAGGTAAGATACCTAACTGTTGCATATGTGTCTTACCTACATCCTGAGTGGTAATGTTTCTAACGTTCACAAGAGGCTCCAAGAAATATGATGATGGTGGAGAGGGAAACTGAAATGTTACGGTGCAGATTTGACAATTTTGTGTGTAAAATACTGGGAACTTTATAGTCTCGTTAAATCACACTCTAAGGAGCAGACCCGCCTAAGCGGAGTTTGTCCATTTTATCAGTAGTACGACTGGACCGGACACCCGTTCAATATAGCAGATCTTGTCCTCTTAATGGGTATTTTAATCGGACATCCCATTAAATATGCAATTTGAGGCTTCGTCCCGGGAGATTTTTTTTTTTTTTTTTTTTTTTTTTGGTTTAGCCGACATCCGAGGGGAGGGGGGAGGGGGGGAGGGTGTTTCTGCTTTACTGAAAGTTAACAGCATTTCCATTTCTTCCTTATGTATAAAGAAATGGATATCTGCAATACCCTCAAAAAGAAACCTGCAATGATACCTTTCATTACACATGCATCGTAGCGTGAAAAGTACTGAGGGACGACCTTTGTTAGTTTCCTGTTAACTTTAAACTTTCTATTTTTACTGTATAGAGCGGTACGTCCAGAGAAAGCTGATAATCATCTAGTTTTTCATCCATGGTGTACATGATGGGGTTTTCAGCAAAGTTGAACTCATTAAGTAGTTCTGTTGCGTTAATCACCAGATGGGATTTGTGGTTGCACCTTTACCACCTCCATCTGCTTTAAGACTAGGTCAGAACAGTACCATCGCAAGCAACTGTTGGCATCAAGCATCTCAGAAGAAGAAGCAATTAAAACGAAGGTGGACCTTGGAGACATTTAGGAAGTCTTTGGTAAAGTCTGAGGGATGAAAGTTGCAAGTAACTGTCTCTGGATGTAGTGTCCATGCTTGATGTGTGGGGTTCCCGATGACTACAAAAGTGACTTTGAAACTTCTGAGTTTATTGTTTTTCATATTATCATCATTAATTCTGTCCAAAACTTCATTTGTAACTGAACGATCTGTCATACACATCATATATTCATTATCTAACTCAAAGCAGCCTTGTTTCAGCAGATGTGGAGGAAACGCTACGGGCAGCCGAGGAGCTGGTAGCAGAGGTGAAGAGCGTGGGCGTAGGTGGACGACTGCTGTGTCGGCTGCTGGTGGGTGTGGGAGTGGCGCTGCCCAAGTGTAACAGACATGAAGATGCAATTGCTGTCCTCACTGACGCCGTCCACATAGCTCGGGCCAGGTGTGTATATGTATGTGCGTGTGTGTATCTTCACCTAATTGTACTCCTCAAATTGTGGTTGCAGGGTTTAAGTCATACCTCCTGCCCTCGCCTTTCACTGGTCGCTACTAGGTCAACTCTCTCCCCTGCTCCATGAGCTTTATCGTATTTCATAAACTTATGTATGGATCCTACCTCCATTACATCACTCTCCATATTGTTCCACTTTCTGACAACACTGACTGAAGAAATACTTCCTAAACTCCCTGAGAGTCATCTGAGTCTTCAGATTCTAGTGGGACCCCTTGATGATGTGTCCCATTTTTGAAACATCCTGTCTGTTCACCTTGTCGATTCCTTTTATTACATGTCGTTATCATATCCCCTCTATCCCTCCTGCCCAGTGTCGTTAGGTCGATTTCTCTCTCCTCGTAGCACTTACCACTTAGCTTCAGGACTAGTCTCCTTAAAAACCTTTGCACTTTGCACTTTCTCGCCTAATTGTACTCACCTAATTGTGGTTGTGTGTGTGGGGGAGGGGGGGGGAGGGTTGAAGCGCAAGCTATATTGTATTAGCACCATTGTATTATGCACTGTGTATTTAGAGGTTGGATGTAGGTTGTGTTGTTAGGTTATTAATAGCGTCATTACGTATGGTACCTGTACTTAGTGGACTGATGCTGTACCAGTGCTGATTCTTTGTTCATAACCTGCATTATTGTTCCATATTACTTTACGTTACTACCTATATATGTATTTTGTATATAGTTTTAAATAAAATCTAAAAATATATATAAATTAAATGGAACAGGATGATGAATATGTTCTTAAGTATGGAGCGATCTTTTTTTAAATTCTAACATAAATGGAATGGAACGTTACATTATTACAGTCCTAGATAAAGTTAAATAACATTGAACAATGTGTATAGAGAGTGTTCAGGCCTGGCTTCAATACCAGGGCTGAGGTCCAGCCCCAGTCAACCTGTGTGTGTGTGTTGGGGGAGTGACCAGGGCTCAGATTCAGCCCCAGTCAACCTATGTGTGTGTTGGGGGGTGACCAGGGCTCAGATCCAACCCCCAGTCAACCTGTGTGTGTGTGTTGGGGGTGGGTGACCAGGGCTCAGATCAAGCCCCAATCAACCTGCAAGTGTGGAGGAGGAGGTGGTGACCAGGGCTCAGATCCAGCCAAAGTCAACCTACGTGTGGGGGGGAAGGGTGTGACCAGTGCTCATATCCTGCCCCAATCAAAATGTGTGTGTGCTAGGGGGGTGACCAGGGCTCAGATCCAGCCCCATTCAACCTGTGTGTGTATGTGTTAGCGGGTGACACGGGCTCAGATCCAGCCCCAGTCAATCTGCATGTGTGGAGGAGGAGGGGGTGACCAGGGCTCAGATCCAACCCCAGTCAACCTGTGCATGTGTTGGGGGGTGACCAGGGCTCAGACCCAAACCCAATCAACCTGTGCATGTGTTGGGGGGGGGGTGACCAGGGCTCAGATCCAGCCCCAGTCAACGTGTGTTGGGGGGGAAGGGGGTGACCAGTGCTCAGATCCAGCCCCAGTCTACCTGTGGGTGTGTGTGGAAGGGAGGGACTGACCAGAGCTCAGATCCAACCCTAGTCAACCTGTGGGTGTGTGTGGAAGGAAGGGGGTGACCAGGGCTCAGATCCAGCCCTAGTCAACCTGTAGGTGTGCATGAAAGGGAGGGAGTGACCAGAGCTCAGATCCAGCCCTAGTCAACCTGTGGGTGTGTGTGGAAGGGACGGCGTGACCAGAGCTCAGATCCAGCCCTAGTCAACCTGTGGGTGTGTATGAAAGGGAGGGGGTGACCAGGGCTCATCCAGCCCCATTCAACCTGTGTGTGGGAGGAAGGGGGTGACCAGGGCTCAAATGAAGCCAGCGCTACACATATGATGCCAGCGCTACACTCCTGAAGCCAGCGCTACACACATGAAGCCAGCGCTTTACACAAGAAGCCAGTGCTTCACAGAATCCAGCGCTACACACGAATCCAGGGCTACACACATGAAGCCAGCGCAACACACCTGAAGCCAGCGCTACACACCTGAAGCCAGTGCTACACACCTGAAGCCAGCGCTTCACACAAGAAGCCAGTGCTTCACAGAATCCAGCGCTACACACGAATCCAGGGCTACACACATGAAGCCAGCGCAACACACCTGAAGCCAGCGCTACACACATGAAGCATGCGCTTCGCACATGAATCCAGCGCTACATACGTGAAGCCAGTACTACACACGTGAAGCCAGCGCTGCACATGCGAAGCCAGCGCAAAACACATGAAGCCAGCTCTAAACACATGAAGCCAGCTCTAAACACATGAAGCCAGCTCTACACATGTGAAGCCAGCTCTACACACGAAGCCAGTGATAAACACATGAATCCAGCGCTACACACATGAAGCCAGCGCTACACACATGAAGGTAGTGATGCACACATGAAGCCAGCGGTACACACATGATGCCAGTGCTTCACTAATAAATCCATTGCTACACACATGAAACCAGTGCTACAGACATGAAGCCATCGCTACACACACGAAACCAACGCTACACACATGAAGCAATCACTACACACATGACGCCAGCGCTACACACATGAAGCCATCGCTAAACACATGACGCCATCGCTACACACACGAAGCCAGCGCTACACACATGAAGCCAGCGCTACACACATGAAGACAGCGCTACACACATGAAGCCAGCGCTACACACATGAAGCCAGCGCTACACACATGAAGCCAGCGCTACACACAAGCAGCCAGCGCTACACACATGAAGCCAGCGCGACACACATGAAGACAGCGCTACACACATGAAGACAGCGCTACACACATGAAGACAGCGCTACACACTTGAAGCCAGCGCTACACACATGAAGCCAGCGCTACACACATGAAGACAGCGCTACACACATGAAGCCAGCGCTACACACATGAAGACAGCGCTACACACATGAAGACAGCGCTACACACATGAAGACAGCGCTACACACTTGAAGCCAGCGCTACACACATGAAGCCAGCGCTATATACATGAAGCCAGCGCTACACACATGAAGACAGCGCTATATACATGAAGCCAGCGCTACACACATGAAGACAGCGCTACACACATGAAGCCAGCGCTACACACATGAAGTCAGCGCTACACACAAGCAGCCAGCGCTACACACATGAAGCCAGCGCTACACACATGAAGCCAGCGCTACACACATGAAGCCAGCGCTACACACATGAAGCCAGCGCTACACACATGAAGCCAGCGCTACACACATGAAGCCAGCGCTACACACATGAAGACAGCGCTACACACATGAAGCCAGCGCTACACACATGAAGTCAGCGCTACACACAAGCAGCCAGCGCTACACACATGAAGACAGCGCTACACACATGAAGCCAGCGCTACACACATGAAGACAGCGCTACACACATGAAGACAGCGCTACACACATGAAGACAGCGCTACACACATTAAGTCAGCGCTACACACATTAAGTCAGCGCTACACACATTAAGTCAGCGCTACACACATTAAGTCAGCGCTAAACACATGAAGACAGCGCTACACACATGAAGACAGCGCTACACACATGAAGACAGCGCTACACACATGAAGCCAGCGCTACACACATGAAGACAGCGCTACACACATGAAGACAGCGCTACACACATGAAGTCAGCGCTACACACATGAAGACAGCGCTACACACATGAAGACAGCGCTACACACATGAAGTCAGCGCTACACACATGAAGACAGCGCTACACACATGAAGACAGCGCTACACACATGAAGACAGCGCTACACACATGAAGTCAGCGCTACACACATGAAGACAGCGCTACACACATGAAGACAGCGCTACACACATGAAGTCAGCGCTACACACATGAAGTCAGCGCTACACACATGAAGACAGCGCTACACACATGAAGACAGCGCTACACACATGAAGACAACGCTACACACATGAAGCCAGCGCTACACACATGAAGCCAGCGCTACACACATGAAGACAGCGCTACACACATGAAGACAGCGCTACACACATGAAGCCAGCACTACACACATGAAGCCAGTGCTACACACATGAAGACAGCGCTACACACATGAAGACAGCGCTACACACATGAAGACAGCGCTACACACATGAAGCCAGCACTACACACATGAAGCCACTGCTACACACATGAAGACAGCACTACACACATGAAGACAGCACTACACACATGAAGCCAGTGCTACACACATGAAGACAGCACTACACACATGAAGCCAGCGCTACACACATGAAGACAGCGCTACACACATGAAGACAGCGCTACACACATGAAGACAGCGCTACACACATGAAGACAGCGCTACACACATGAAGACAGCGCTACACATATGAATCCAGCGCTACACATATGCTCTGTGTTTGTCAATGTATATAGTGAACAGTGAAAGTTTAATGTAATAATTATTTAATAAATGAAGATTTATTCAATATATCTTAAGTCTTATTTAAATTCATCAGATCTTATTTATATATTTGTCTATTTTAGGTGAATGTTAAATAATGAAAATTATTGTTCTGTTCTGGTAAATTTACATCTTTAATTACTTGTTATGCTGGTGAAAGGTCTTAACCCACAATGAAAGTTGGAACTTGTGTCTGGTGTCAGCCTGTCAGACGCTAGTGTCTGGTGTCAGCCTGTCAGACGCTAGTCAAACATTGCTCTTAAATGACATTCAAACTTACTTTAGGTAGGTTCAGAAATGGGTTTGACTGGTGCTGTTGTGACGGGCTCGGGCAGTGTGACGGGCTTGGGCAGTGTGACGGGCTTGGACAGTGTGACGGGCTTGGGCAGTGCGACGGGCTTGGGCAGTGTGACGGGCTTGGACAGTGTGACGGGCTTGGGCAGTGTGACGGGCTTGGGCAGTGCGACGGGCTTGGGCAGTGTGACGGGCTTGGGCAGTGTGACGGGGTTGGGCAGTGTGACGGGCTCGGCCGGTGTGACGGGCTCCTCCAGTGTGACGGGCTCTGCCAGTGTGACGGGCTTGGGCAGTGTGACGGGCTCGGCCAGTGTGACGGGCTCGGCCAGTGTGACGTGAACCAAAGTGCTTCAGTTTTACGTCTCTGGCTGTAAACAAAATTTGCAGTGACAGCAGCTAGTGTCAGCTGTCTGACTTCTGTTATGATTTCAACATTATGGTTGATATCTAAATCGTTGATGGAAGTACAGAGAAGAAAGAGCGAGAGAGTGATAGAGGGAGAGAGAGAGAGATTAAATATTAAATAAATTTATCTGTGATGATAATATCATTACTCATTACTTATCGTTTTGTGTTAGTTACTGTTTGTCAAGGGCACTTGTCGATAGTGTATATGTTGTGTTCAGAGTATGAAACGTTAAACGTTAAATAACGTTAAACAATGTTTTGTGTTGAATATTAACATAAAATGTAGCTACAACATTGTTTTATTAAAGAACACCTTGGTTAGTAGAGTATTGTTTAAATTATTTATTATATAAATTAACAGTAACCTGCAAGACATTATGTAGACGTCGTCCATCAAAATATACTTACAATAGTAGATATGACTGATGTATGATGATTACGGACATTTTATTAGTCATAACACTCCCATTACAATCAATTCTGTAGCCTTTTCAATAATTAATCAAATAATTTCAATAATGGTTATTAATCAAATAATTTCAATAATGGTTATTAATCAAATAATTTCAATAATGGTTATTAATCAAATAATTTCAGTAATGGTAATTAACCCATGTATGCATATATAAATCTCTTTGTATATAGATACACAGAAATTCCCGGAACTCATTTTGTCAACCAGTGACCATCGTTGTTACAAGCTGCGCTCATTCATTCAGGAAAATAACCTTCACTCCTCTATTTGCTACTTCTGAGTTGCCTTATAGTGTTTCTGCCCAAGTGATGCTGTTCAAGAACATTTTTCCGCAAATGTTCATAAAGTTTTTCAGCACCTCCTCCAGCATCTTGGCTCTCCACGTCTCCGTTCTCCTAAATGGCTCTAGATTTTTCCTAGACTATCTTCGTGTGGTTGAAATCCTCCATTATGAGTAATTTTGCCCATCTTTTGTGGGACCTTCTGGTCACTGCAGCCACTGTGGCCACCATCGTTCTGTTGCTGTCATCGTATTCCTCCTTTGGTCTCCTTCAGTTTGGTGGCGAGTTGTACTTTACAGCTAGAATCACTTTTGGATCTCCAGTTAGAAGTGTTCCTAATATGTAGACATCTATTTCACCTCTGACTAGTCCTCCCATCTCCTCAAAACTCCATTGGCTTTTGATGAGAAGTGCATCTCCTCCTCCCACTCTGTTTCCCCCGTCTTCGCAATCGTGTCATTACGATTTCCTGAGTCATCCTGACTTGAAGATTGCATCTCAGAAATATTCTGGCTCTGTTCGCCTTGTCAATTCATCTCAGTATTCTGTACGGCGTTATCATCTCCCCCTCTATTCCTCCTGTCCTAAAGTGTCCTTAAGATGAGTTACCCTAACCTCTCCTCATAGGACATACCCCTTACCTCCTGAACTAGTCTTGTTGCAAACTTCTGAACTCTAATTTCTTCACGTGCTTCACTGATTGTGTGTTCCATACTGGTGTTTTATACTCTAATATGGGCCTAACGTACGCTGTGTACAGTGTTGTGACTTAGGCTTGCCAGGAGCCGTTTTCCTTGAGCTTGTACTCCAACTGTGGTCTTCCTTGACCTTCCACAAGCTTCTTGATATTGCACTTGGTGGGGTTAAACTTCAGGTACCATTTGTCTGACCATGCTTGCATCCTGTCCACCTCCCTTTGTAGTCTCTCCTGATTCTCGTTCTCTTGTAATCTCCTCAACAATTTCCTGTCGTTTGCGAAAAGGATCACTGCTGATTCTATCTCTTCTGTCATGTCATTCACATACAAAAGAAACAGCACCGGCCTTAGGTTTGACCTTCGTAAAGCCCCATTCAACACACACAACCACTCCGAATACTCGTTAGGTATTATCACTCATTTCTTTTCTGATCCATTGCAGTGTTTTCCTGCTATTCTAACAGCTGGTGCTTTTTTCCTTTATATATTTAAATATATTATATATATATATATAATATATATATATATATATATAATATATATATATATATATTTATTTTATATATATTATATATATATATATTATTATTATATTATTTTTTATCACACTGGCCGATTCCCACCAAGGCAGGGTGGCCCGAAAAAGAAAAACTTTCACCATCTATAAAGTTTTTCTTCTTCTCTTTTTTAGTAAGTGTCTACAGGAGAAGGGGTTACTAGCCCATTGCTCCCGGCATTTTTAGTCGCCTCATACGACACGCATGGCTTACGGAGGAAAGATTCTTTTCCACTTCCCCATGGACAAATAATATATATTATATATATATATATATATATATATATATATATATATATAATATATATATATAATATATATATATATATTATATATATATATATATATATATATATATATATATATAATATATATATATATATATATATATATGTGTGTGTGTGTGTGTGTGTGTGTGTGTGTGTGTGAATAAGATAAATAATGAACAATGTTTCTGAAACTTCGGAAATGGTTATAGAATTGATCTTGTCGCCAAAGCGCCTAGTTCATTATAAACGCAATATTCATCCCGTGATGCGTCATTAAAGATATTACTAGTGATGAGGTTCACTCTGGATAGCCATGTGAAATTAAATGAGTACAGTTTCCATGGACGGGTGAAGTACTCTTGTTGTCTACAGTCTTACAGTTTCACGAACTGTAAGGTTCTAGACTACATATATACAAAGATCTAAGTATGTTGTATGTCTAGAAGCTTAGAGCTGTGGTAACAATGATTCATTTCTTATCTTTCTAATTCCAAGTGCAGTGTTAATCCTATAAGTGATACCAGAAAAGCCAAGAATAATTCTGAGGACTTCATTTTGCATGAGCTCCAAGGGCCAGAGATAATTGACCGTAGCCAATATTAACATGGGAGAAGCATAATCAAATAAAGGTGAAATACTGCCTATGTACTTCGTTCTTACTATTCTTATACTCGCATCACAGTTAGGGTAATAACCAGAAATAGATCTGTGAGCATTTTAGCCTATCTTAGCAATTCATATTTAGCTGTGGTAAAATGGATTTATTAGAGGGGCATGTTTGCACCAAGATAACTAAGATTTAACTTAGCTGATATTATGGAGTGCAAACGAATGGGTGGGGTATGCCGTTTATCATAATCTTTGTTTTAGATGAAGATATGTCTAGGTCTGAGTACAAATTACTTAAATCTAGTTCAGAAAGGTACTCATCATCTTATGCCCTGCTGAATGGATCATTATGTAGTCGTCATAGCTTTATATGTTGAATCTATAATATTTAGGCGAGATAAGTATGGCATTTATTATTATTATTATTATTATTATTATTATTATTATTATTATTATTATTATTATTATTATTATTATTATTATCAATGGAAGCGCTAAACCTCATAGGGTATGGCATTTAGGAAAGTATTCCTCTGGGCAGTAAATAGCATAAGACCTAGAATTCTACCCTGTGGTACAGGGTGTACTTCAGTCTTACTGCTAAAAACAACATATACATCAAACAGGTAACACGTGTTACTAATTGTGGCTTTTCTTACTTCAGTGAATATGGTGAGGAGGAGCATATGGCAGTTGAGGCACTGGGGAGGACACTGGCCAATAGAGGGCAGCATGCAGAGGCAGTCTCCGTCTGGGAGCGTCGTATTCCCGCTGCCAAGAATAGCCGCCAGAGAGCATCGTTGTTCCTACTCATAGCCAAGTCATATTTTGGTAAGTTTTATGAGAACACCAACTGACAGTTCTCGTTTATTACACTGCTTTATTAAAATAATTCTTCAAGCACACCTGCTCCTCCCAGACAGCGCAAATAGTCCCATTGGGACAAACTGACAGTGGAGAACATCGCCCACACAATGCTGAACAATACTTGAGGATAGCCGAAGCTTTTCTCCCAGCAGTGAAGGCACCATATTCAGGAGATTTCTATTTAACTGTCCCTAATACTTCCTTGGGCACTCGGCTCTACCCTCAGGCCATTCGGATTGGTGTGGCTCGTCTCCTATCCGCCACTATTCTCACCAAATAGGTGCATTTGTGGCAGGGCTTCACCTGATCATTTTGGACTACGTGGTCTCGTCTGTTATATGTCAAAAGGAAATTATGTCAGACACGAAATGGTCGGTCACATCATCAAGCGAAGTCTCGTCACTGCCTGTTGCCCAACAGAACGGGAACCTCAAGTACTGAGGTCTGCCAAAAGCACCAAAAGTGTCCAAAGGGAATCACTATGCTACCTGGAAGGATGGTAAGCAGATTGCTTGGAGCTACAGCTGTGCATCTACGTTGGCTGACACCTACTTTTCATAATCTGAAGTATGGTAAGTAGGTGTCGGAGGGCTGGCACTATGCTCTAATTTTGTCCCAGTAGGGCCGGAGACCCTTGGAGCGTGGAGCAAGTGTGCTCGAAGATTCCTGAAAGAGATGAAAAACTCGTCACAAAGTAAGGACCCCAGAGTGACCAACTTCCTCTTTCAGAGCCTCAGCGTTACGATCCAGAGGGAAAATCCTGCAGCATTCCGAGCACACGACCCAGTGCCGGAGAGTTGGATGAGGCCATTGAGATGTAGGCCCTAAGATGTCATTTATGTTATTTTTATTTCCATTATATCTTTTTTAATACACTTAGTTTTCAAATAAAGTTCACACAGCATACAGGGGTGGTAGGAGAAGAAAATACTTAAACAATTCCGGGGAGAATCCTGAGTATATATAGAATTCTATGAGACTAAACTCCTTAAAGATATTCTCCCAGATAATGCTAGGGAATTCAGATTGGTGGACGATGTTCATTGCCTTTGGAATAAAGATCACAATATTGATGAGTTCCTACCTAGACTCGGTTCTCTAGTACTTCCCATTACGTTCACAACGGAGCATGAAATAGACAACAGTCTACCTTTCACAGATGTTTCAATCCATCGTGCTGATAGAAGATTTAAATTTAAAATTTAGAGGAAGCCAACCAATGTGTCGTCATACATTAAATATTATTCCACTTGTGAGTCTAGGGTTTAAATGAGTATTTTTGCTGCAATGTTCTTGGAGGCTTGTTCATCTGTAGCCCTGAGTATTTAAAAGATGAAATATATAGGATATTAAACATAGCCACAAAACTGAGATACCCCAGATGTTTTGTTAAGATGGCCATATTGTCAGCTAGGAAGACCTACAGGACTGAACCTCAATGCCTTCTAGGAAAAAATGTATTGGTTTTAACAATAAATGGCACAATACCGTGACTGGAACAATGAACATAGAAGAGAGGAGCTTACGACGATGTTTCAGTCCGACTTGGACCAATTACATAGTCACACTAACAGAAAGGAGAGGAGGGAGAATATATAGTCCAGCAGACAATGACGAGAGCAAAAGAGGTAGTGGTGGAGGTGGTGGTAGTAGTAGTAGTAGCAGTAGTAGTAGTAGATGAGTCAGTCAAATACCAAGAAAGAGGAGCACTGGGAGGGAGCTAGGGGCCACAGAAGGTAGGAGCAAAAACACAGAGGAGGGACAAAATAATGAAAGAAAT